CAGCGGGAGCAGGGCGGGGCCGGGGCTGGGGCCGCGTCTGGGCTGCTGAGCGCCCCCCTCCCGCAGGAGGATGTTCCCCACCTTCCAGGTGAAGATCGTGGGCATGGACTCGCTGGCCGACTACGCCCTGCTCATGGACTTCATCCCGCTCGACGACAAGAGATACAGGTCAGGCACGGGCGGAGAAGCAGGCTCAGATCCCGGGTGCTGAGCCCAGGAATCAGACCCTACCGCGCTCCAGGGCGAGGCAGAACCCAGCCGAGCAATGCCAGGGAGGGCCGGCCTGGGGCAACAGCCTGACGGCAGGAGGGAGCCCAGCTCGGGGCGGCCCACAGCCTTACATGGGCAGCCTGGGCAGGGGTGGTCTAGCCCCGGGAAGCAGGGGTCATCCTGAAGCCCACCAGCCAGGTGCAGCCACCGGGAACTCAGGGCCCGACAGTATTCCCTGAGCCTCGAGTTCCACATCCGCACAACGTCCACCAGGCCAGGGGACAGTGGTGCAGCCAGCGATGGCCCCTTCTGCCCCGGCCCCCGTCCTGCTCAGGCTTGGCTCCGGCGGGGGCAGCCTCACCACCTCGCTCTGCTCCCCAGGTACGCCTTCCACAGCTCGGCCTGGCTGGTGGCCGGCAAGGCAGACCCGGCCACGCCTGGCCGCGTGCACTTCCACCCCGACTCACCAGCCAAGGGTGCCCAGTGGATGCGCCAGATCGTGTCCTTCGACAAGCTCAAACTGACCAACAACCTGCTGGATGACAACGGCCACGTGAGGCCGGGCCGCAGTGGGGAGGGGCCGGGCCGGGCCGGGGGCGCTGGGGCCTGATTGTGAGGAAGCCTGGAGCCAGGGCAGGCCGGGCTTGCAGTGCCCAGTGGCCTTGGTGCTCGGCACCTCTGCCCACTGCCGATGGCCAAGGCTGGGGCTGGACGCAGAGAGGGCTGTCCAGCCAGTGGGAAAGTGGGTGCGTGGGAGGAATGTTCCAGCAGATATTGTCCTTCCCAAGGAGAGGGGAGACAGTGTATGGAATGCCCAGCATGGGCCAGGCCCGTTGTAGGTGCCGGAACACAGCACTGTTGACACTGGGCAAAGATCCCTGCACTCCCAGGGTTGACAACCCTGGTAGGGGCAGGTGGTAAGCCCAGCACCCCGAAGATGCTGTGTACTGGGTCTCAGACAGTGACAGATGCCGAAGAGAAAAAGGAAGTAGAGAAGGGGGCAGAGACAGAGGGTGGCTGTTCCTTTCAGGGAGCTCAGGAAGCTGATGAGGTGACATCCGAACAGACTGTGTATGTGGGAGCCTGTGCATGTCGGAGGGGGAGCCGTTCCAGCCAGAGGGGACAGCAAGTGCAAAGGCCCAAGGCCAGAGAATGTTGGGCCAATGGTGGGAGCTGCTAGGAGCCTTCCCGTGTGGCTGATGTGGAGCGAGGAGGGGAAGAGGGGTCAGGGAGAGCACCTAGAGGTAGCCGGGCTGATTGTGCAGGGCCGGTGGCGGTGGCGAGGACTCTGGCTTTTGCCAGGCAGGCGGGAGCCACAGGAGGGTCGGGAGCAGGGGCTACCTGGTGCGGCCTGCTGGGCAGCTGTGCGGAGCAGGCACAGAGGGGCACGGTGGAGGCAGGGAGGCCAGCCAGGAGGCAACCGAGAAAATCAGGTGACAGAGGACAGTGGCTGGCCGGCATGGAGACAGCAGGGTGGCAGAGGTAGTCGGATTCTGGATAGTTCCAAAGGGAAAGCTGACAGTTGGGGTGTGGGTGCGAGAGAAGGCGAAGAGGCAAGGATGCTCAAACACAGAGGGGCCCTGGACACAGAACTGTGGCCTCCCAAGTCCAGGTCCCGCGCTGCCACGAAAGGGAGAGGGGGCAGGTCCGGCGCAGCCTCTGCCGGGAGAGAAGGGCTGTGGCCTGCTGCCGCCGCCCCACCCTGCACACCCGCCCCGTGCCCCCACAGATCATTCTCAACTCCATGCACCGCTACCAGCCCCGTTTCCACGTGGTCTTCGTGGACCCACGCAAGGACAGTGAGCGCTACGCCCAGGAGAACTTCAAGTCCTTCATCTTCACCGAGACACAGTTCACAGCCGTGACCGCGTATCAGAACCACCGGGTGGGTCGGCCCCAGCTCGTGGTGCACCAGCTGCCAGCCCACGTCACGGGGCGGAGACTGAGCGGCAGGGCCTCCCCTCTCTGCCCCGGCATCTGCCCACAGTCCTTCCCCTGCCTGCCCACCCAGCAGCTCCACAGTCCCTGGGCCAAGGGCCTGGGCTCCAGGGTCTCCCGACTGGGGGGAGGTCCCGGAGGACATGGTGGCTGAGCCTGGCTCAGAGCCAACCCATAACGACACTTCCTCCTCTGTAGATCACCCAGCTGAAAATCGCCAGCAACCCTTTTGCCAAGGGCTTTCGAGAGAGTGACCTGGACTCCTGGTACTGTCTGGCCCCTGATACTCTGCCCAGCTGCCCACCCCCGCCCCCGCCCCCAGGCATCTCCTAAGGCCCCAGCTCCTGACCCTTGTGTCCGGGTCATGCCCTCTGACCTGTATGGCCTACCATCTGGCTCTGCCCATGATCCCTGGCCTGGGTTCTTCCCCTGGGCCCCATCCCATTCCTGCTCGGCCCATCTGCAGGCCTGTGGCCCCGCGGCCCCTGCTTGGCATCCCAGCCCGGAGTCGCAGCAGCCTCAGTCCCTGTCTCCTGAAGGGCGCCCCAGAGAGGGAGACAGGTAAGGCCCCAGGTCTGCAGACATAGTGGGACTAAGGCCTGCACTGTGGGCAGGAAGCAAGGGGACAGGGCCACAGGGCATCCAGGAAGGGGCTTCAGTGAGCTCAGCAAACCCACTGGGCACCAGTGTGGACAAGAGGGGGAGGCGGAGATTCCTAAGACAACATGGGGCCCAGAGCAGAGAGAACAGGGTAGGGACAAGGTGCTAAGAGCAGAGGTAGGCGGTGCCAGGAGGGCTTCCTGGAGGAGATGGCTCCCTAGCTGGGCCTTGGGTGACCAGGAAGGGTTTGGACAGAGGGAGAAAGTGGGTAAGGCAGAGGGAGACAAGGGCAAAGGCTGGGAGGTAGGCAGCTTGGGATAGGAGGAGCAGGGAAGAGGACAGGGCAGTCCTCGGATGAGGGCTCAGGATGCGAGGGGAGGCCTGGGGTCCGCTCAGACCATTTTCCCCCTCAGGCCCCAACAGGGCTTCAGCCTCTACCTCCAGGACCCCTGCCCAGCTCCATCATCAGCTGCTGCCCCCACCTGAGGCCCTCCTGGCCCCGGCCACCTACAGACCCCTCACCTACCAGGGCCTGTGCCCGGGAGCCCCAAGGCACCTGGGCACCCCAAGGGCCCGACCAGCACCATACCCCCTCCCCAGCATCCGGGCTAACAGGGAAGAAGGAGGCCTGCTCCCTCCAGCTGGGCTGGGGCTCCCAGCCCCCACCACTGTGTGCCTGGGGCCTGGCCAGGACTCTCAGTGATGGCGGAAGCCCTGTAGAAGCTGTCCTACCCTGGACCCCCCCGCCCCCGTGTGTGAATCAGCCTCTGCCCCATCCCCTCCAGCACCCACCTCTAAAGAGACAGCCCCCCAACCTCTCCCCAGTGGACCCTCCTCTACCAAGGAAAACAGGGTAGATGGAAGCCCAGAGAGGGAGGCACCTGCCCAGAGTCACAGCAAGGCTGGGACCATGCCAGGCTTGGAACCAGGCCTCCTACACCCCAACCCCAGAAACCATGAATGCTGTGCCCTCCTGCCTTGGGGGTGACTCCCCCAAACCCTGCTTCACTTCCCTCTACATTAAACCATTTGGCATGAGTGGTCAGAGCACTTCTGTCCTCAGGGGTCAGGGGGTGGCCTCAGGAACTCCAGACCCAAGACAGTCCCCACATCAGTCCTGTAGACATCTCAAAGCTCTGCTCGGTGCTGTCCCCATCCCTGCAAGTACACGTGATGGTAAAAGGTGGTGACATTAACCGAGTGGCAGGGCTGCATTTAAACTGTGAAGGGGACTGGGGTCCTGCTCCCTGCTTTGTGTGTCCAGATGAGGACCAAAACTGCCGCACAGAGAGGCACAGGACCTGCTCAAAGTCACACAGCAAAGCTGCCATGTTTGAGTGTTGTGTGCAAGGCTGGGTCATCTGGTCCTGAATGGCCAGGGTCCACGGAGGAGTGCAGAACCACGATAGGCAGTGACCACAGGGGCCAACGTGGGGACGGCGAGGGCAGGGACTTGGGAATCTGATCACGATTCGAGGCAGGAGGGGAGAAGAGCTCTGGACTGCAGAAAAGGAGGCCAAAGGCCTACGGCTGCAGTCGGTCCGACGGAGCCTGCAGGAGGACAAGACGGGGGCGACGCGCGCCACCCAGCGGAACCAGGAGAGAGAGCCCGGAGGGAGGGCCGGGCCGGGGAACCTGTCTCGGCCCGGACCCGACCTCGGCCTTCCGGAGGGGGCGCCCCGGTGGGACCCCGACTCTGCACGTCCTGTGAGCCCCTCAGGGAAGGGACCGACACACGGGCGGGAGGAGGGACGGGCGCCAGGCGGGGTCTCAACAGCCAGGCACCCTAATGCCCGAACCCGGTGGTCAGAACCGCAGAGACCGGTCACCAGGCGCTTCGCCGACCGAGCCGGGCCGGTTCGGCCCCCACAACCTTCCCCGCAGGCCACGCCCCAAGCGGAAACGCAGCCTGCTGGGCACGCCCCTTCCGTCCACGCCCCCAGTCTGCGCCCCTCGGGTGTCCCGAGGAGCTGAAGTTCCGGTCCGGATCCCCCGTACAAGCCCCAGACTCCTCGACTGCTTCCAAGGTGCCCCCCACTTCACTGCCATCTCGCAGTTACGCTGGCTCTGGCTCCCGCGCAGGCGCCCCCCGCCCTCTCACCCGGGGCCCCGCCCTCTCACCCGGGCCCCGCCCTCTCACCCAGGGGCCCCGCCCCCTCACTCGGAGGCCCCGCCCCGGCCCGTCCCACCGAGGCCCCGCTTCAAGCGGACCCCGCCCACGGGGCGTGTCGTGCCGGGCAGGCTCCGCCCCCGGCCCGCCCAGGTCCCGGAGGCCGCGGGGGCGAGAGCGCTGCCCCTCGGCTTCCTGGCAGGCGGGCGTCTGCGGCGTCCGGGACATGCTGCCCGAGTGCCTGTCCGCGGAGGGCGAGCGGCGCTGTCGGCGGCTGCTGGCGGAGGCCACGGCCCGGCTCCGCGCGCGGCCCGCGTCAGCCGCTGTGCTCGTGCCGCTCTGCTCCGTGCGCGGGGTCCCGGCGCTGCTTTACACGCTGCGGTCCAGCCGCCTGGCCGGGAGGCACAAGGGGGACGTCAGGTACAGCGGCCGGAAACTCTGTCCTTCAGCCGGAGGACGCTGAACCCCGGAAACGGCAGGGACTCTGGGCGAGGCGCCCAGCCTTTCCGAGCCTCGGTTTCCACCTCTGCAAAATAGGCCTGGGGAGACCCTGTCGCCCTCGGGCTGCGGCGAGGCGCCGGACCCGTGTCCCTCCAGGCCCCTCGAGTCGCGTCCTGGCGCGAATCACCTCGGGCGGGACTCCTCGGACAGGTGTCCCCCTCTCTAAGAAGGCAGGACTCGGCCTCTGCCTGCGAGTGTGGACAGAGTCCAGCCGGAGCTGAGGACGCACGTGGGGCGGGCCAGGTGACCTCCCGCCCTGGCCCCGCCCCGGCGGGAATCAAGGACACCCTGGGGTCAATATCGGCGCCGCTGGGGCCACCATAGGCAAAATTTGGGTGTCTGAGCTCCAGGATCCTGGCTCCAGGATCTTCCTGTCCCTGCTGCCTGACCCTCATATCCTATCCTGTGCTGTCCAGGGCCTCTCTCCCTTACCCCATCGCTCAGCAGGGTAAACTGGCCTCCAGGGATCAAGTGGCTTGCCCAGGCCTCACAGCAAACTAGGGGCAGAGGCAGACGATGCCTAGGTGGGTCACTGGCCCCTGCCACTGCTGACACCCCCACCCCACCAAGGGGCGGCCCCACAAGCCCAAGGACCAGACTCCCTGTGCCTGTTCAGTTTCCCAGGAGGCAAGTGTGAGGCGGCTGACCAGGACGTGGTGCACACAGCCCTGCGGGAGACCCGGGAGGAGCTGGGCCTGGCTGTGCCTGAGGAGCAGGTGTGGGGCACACTGAGGCCTGTGTATGACACGGTGAGCCACCTGGCCCTGAGGCCACCCCACCCCGTTCACTCACTCTGCTCGCCTGGGCTAAGATCCCAGACCCCAGGGACAAGGAGAGGGGTCATGGACTCCCACAGGTAAAAAGTGTGGAGGACTGCCAGGTATGTACCTGGCAGTCACTTATACCATCCCTATGCACCCCCCCCGGGGGGGAGGGTACAGAGGACGCTGTGGTCCTGAGATGGACATGGCCCAGGGTGAAGGGATAAGCCAGCTCTGCTCAGCTTGCTGGATGAGGGTTGGGGAAGGCTTCACGGGCTAGGCAGGGATTGGGCTGGGGCTTGAATGACAAGTGGGAGATTTTAGGGTAGTAAAGGCAAGGGAAGGCTCCCTGACTGCCTGCCCCCGCCCCAGCAAAAGGCCACCGTGGTGCCAGTGCTTGCTGGTGTGGGCCCACTGGATCTCCAGAGCCTCAGGCCCAACCCTAAGGAGGTGAGTAGGGGGACACAAGGGGGGCCAGACTGTCCCATGGTGGGAGGCTGCAGCGGCCATCTTTTGGCCACCTTCTCTCTGCCTCCTGCCCACAGGTGGATGAGGTGTTTGTGCTGCCCGTGGCCCACCTGCTGCAGACACAGAATCAGGGCTATACTCACTTCTGCCGGGGCGGCCACTTCAGCTACACACTCCCTGTCTTCCTGAATGGACCACACCGGGTCTGGGGGCTCACGGCTGTCATCACCGAGCTCACCCTGCAGCTACTGGCACCTGGCACCTACCAGCCCCGCCTGGCCATCCCTGAGCTGTGCAGGGCTGAGGCCAGCCCCTAAGTGGCCCAGCCTCTGCCTTCACCCTGCTGGGCTGGCTCCACTCTAAGACTGAATAAAGGGCCTGTACTCTGGTGTCCACTGCAGCATCACTCACGGTAGCCAAGAGATGGAAGCAGCCTGGGCGCCCAGCATCGGAAGACTGGACAAAGAAAATGTGGAGGACATACACAAAGGAGTACTATACAGCCTTTAAAAAGAAGGAAACTCCGTCATTTGTGACAACATGGAGGACATTATGCCAAGTGAAATAAACGAGGCACAGAAAGACAAATGCCACATGCTCTCACTTTTATATGGAATCTTAAAAAGTTGAACTTAGAGAAACAGAGAGTAGAATGGTGGTTGCCAGAAGCTGGGGGGCAGGTTGGGGTTGGGGACAGGGGAGGGTGTGGCTCATGGGCACAAAGTTTCAGTTAGACAGGAGAAATAAGCTTTAGCGACCTATTGCACAGCATGGCCACCATAGCTAGTCATAGTGTATATTGTAAAACTGCTTAAAGAGTAGATTTTAAACATTCTTACCACAAAAAGGTGGTTAAGTGGATGAGGTGATGGATATGTTAATTAGCTTGATCTAATCTTTCTGCAGTGTATCCACATATCAAAACATCATGTCGTGACCTATAAATATCTACAGTTATTATTGTCAATTAAAAATAAAAGAACAGTAAGGAAGCTCAGGGAGAAGAGAGCAGGAACGTTGGGCAATTGGAACCAGCCAGGTCCCCCGGTGACCCAGAAACCACAGGTGTGCGGAGCGGCTGGGCGGGCTGGGCCGTCAAGGAAGCCAGGAGAAGCAATGTGGGGGTGGGGGGCCACCACACAAGGACACCCTGAGGGGCCAAGGGGACACTCCTTGGTGAGGGGACAAGGGCATATGCCTCACCAATGGGTTAGGATTTTATTCCTATTTATGGGTGGGAGGAGGGGGCAGTGGGGGCATGAAAGTGATCTGATTCGTGGTTTCAAAGCTTAAACTGGCCTCTGCCTGGGGACTAGATTACAGCCCCCTCCCCGTGCACCTCTCCCCCACCTCCCCATGGCCCTGCCTGCTCACCTACCCCCTCCTCCTCTGCATCCCTTCCCCCCACCCCTCTGTCACCTCTGGCCGTGCAGCCTCACCTGGGAGCAGGGTCACATGAGGGTGGTAAAAATAACTCCCTGTGACAATGTGTGAAGGGGCAGGGGGAGGAGGGAGGCCAAGCCCAGCACTGGGCAAGGGCCTGGGGGTGAGGGAGGGAGGCTGAGCTCCCAAGCTCTGGGAGGGTTCACACCTCACACTGGTTACCTCAGTCACCCGCTCTGCTGCCCAGGTGCACTCCAGCGCCACGGCTGCCACCGCCACCGCAGCCACCCAAGCCTGCGCAGTAGCTCTCAGAGGGTAAGGAGCCCTGCTGGGCTGACTCTGGAAACACCGGGTCCCCTCCCAAACCTGCCTCGACCCCCTAAGCCCTGCTCCAGCGCTCCGGGCTGGAACCCCCACCCTGCCCCTTGACCCTGCCCTCTGTCCTCAGGTCCCCTGGGCACCATCAGCGATGCCTCTTGGCCCCGGCTCGGAGACCGGGCGTGCCGGCCCCAGCCCGAGTCTCGGTGCATGTCTCTGAGCCCCCGCCCCATGCCCAGACCCCCATGGCAGGCCCAGCGGCAGCAGGCAGGCGGCGGCCCCCTCGGGTCAGCATGCAGGAGCACATGGCCATCGACGTGAGCCCGGGCCCCATCCAGCCCATCCACCTCATTTCCGACTACTTCCCGCACTTCTACCCCTTTGCCGAGCACGCCCTGCGTGCCCCGAACCTGCGCACCACAGCGGCCGCCATCCGCTCTGCACCCCAGCCGCAGCCCGACCCAGAGCCAGAGGGGGACTCGGACGACAGCAGTGAGTGGGGGCAGGGACAGGGGTGACACCAGCTCAACCCAGCCAGAACTGGGCCAGGGCGTCCCTGGCATCCAGCTGTGGTGGGGCAAGGCAGGAAGGGGCAGGTTGAACTGAGGCAGGAGGTGACCCTGCCTGCCACCTGCCCTTAGCTGCCCTGGGCACCCTGGAGTTCACGCTTCTTTTTGATGCGGACAACAGTGCCCTACACTGCACGGCTCATCGTGCCAAGGTGTGTATGGATATTAGGATGGGGCTGGGGTCCCTGGGACAGAGGGCTGCGGGCCACAGGCCATCCCACATCCACTGTCTGTCTCCAGGGCCTCAAGCCACCGGCCTCGGGCTCTGTGGACACCTATGTCAAAGCCAATCTGCTGCCCGGGGCCAGCAAGGTGAGGGCAAGCCCTAGGCCCCCATTGCTGCCCTTCAGCCGCATGCCCAGCCTGGAGCACCGTCCTGGCCCTGCTTGTCCCCTCCCGCAAGGCCTGGGTCCCAGTGGCTGGGGTGTGCAAATGGAGGCCCTATCAGGGAGTCAGGGCAGGGGGAGCAGGGTGGGTGTCTGAGCCCTAGGATCCTCTGATCCCCCTGCCTGGCCCTCAGGCCAGCCAGCTACGGACACGCACTGTTCGGGGCACGAGGGGACCTGTCTGGGAGGAGACACTCACCTATCATGGCTTCACCCCCCAGGATGCTGCATGCAAGACCCTGCGGTGAGGATGGGGCCTGGGCCACCAAGGGGTGGGGCAGGGGGATGGGCTTGCCCAGCCAGGTCTAACCTGAGTGGCCACCAGCCTGTGTGTGTGCGAGGACCCACGGCTGCGGCGACGGCGGCGGGCGCCTCCCCTGGGGGAGCTGCGGGTGCCCCTGAGGAAGCTGGTGCCCAATCGAGCCAGGAGCTTTGACATCTGTCTGGAGAAGCGGAGGTTGGTGAGTGGGGCTGGGGCACAGAGTGGGGCTGCAGGGGCCGGGAATCCTGAGCGGGCACTGGGGAGGGGAGGAGCAGGAAAGGGGTCTGGGCAGCGTCTGGCCAGGGTGACCGGGCCCTCTGCTCTTTCAGACCAAGAGGCCCAAGGGCCTGGACACAGCCCGTGGCATGTCGCTGTATGAGGAGGTGGGTAGGAAAGCTGGGCTGAGCAGGGATGGGGGCAGGCCTGGGGCGTCCCAGGCTGAAGTGGATGAGGCTGGGGCATAGGTGGCTGGGCAGGGTCCAGGTCCAGGCGGGCCTCGAGGAACTTGAGGCCATCTCTCTAATAGGCCCGGGGAACAGCCAGGCCTCCGATGGCTGGGCAGAATGAGGGTGACTCCCTTGCCAGGGCTGAGACCCAAGCAACCTTGAGGCAGAGGCTGAAACTGGTGGTGTTTGTCCGAGGCCCGAGGTGGGAAGGCTGGGCAAGGTCAAAGAGAGAACAGATGGGATGGGGCTCCCTGGCTGCAGGTCTGCCCCGGGATCAGTGTGGGTGCCACCACTGGAGACCAAAGACCTGGCCAGACCCCCTGTGGCCCTGTAGGGGAGAGGCACCTGCGGGCTAAGGGCAGGGCCCCCCACCTGCTCCTCTCCAAACTAAGGGCCAGGCACCCTGCCCCCTAGTGGAGCCACAAATTGCTGCAGCTGCCCATCAGCTAAGCCTAGGCGGGTGAGACCCCACCGAGGTAGCATAGGCAGGCCACTTTGCCCAGCGGACACCCCTCAGCACCCTGCAGCAGCCACCTCCTGTCCTAGACCCCATGCACAACAGCACCACGGCACGTGGCGGGGGCTCAGAGTGCACCTGCGTTCCTGAGAACTGACTGTGGGCAGGGTGCCTGGGCTCTCTGCAAATTGGATTCTAAACGTGGGAGGAAGCACATTCTTTCCTGGCATCCTCCCTGAATTGTTTGGGGGCACCCAGGGCCCAGAGTGTGGCAAAGGACATTCCAAATCTGGTCCCCAGGGTGGAGGGTGGGGGCAAAGAGGGTGGGCTTTGAGGTTGAAGAGGCCTGTTTATCCCTGGGTGGAGAACAGCCTCCCAGAGCTGCTTCCGGGGTAGGGCTTGCCCTGCAGGGGGTGGTTATGACACTTGATGGGAGGCCACTTAGGAAGCTCCTGGCCCCTCAGAGACCATGGGTTCCCTTCCCCTTCACAACAAAGACATGCTGAACTGACAAGTCACATGGCCTGAGCAAGCCCCTCCCCTTCTCAGGTCCTGGAGGGTCTAGCTGACCCATGAGGGAAAGTCCCTTCCAGGGCGCCAGGCCAGGGGCTATACTGGGAAATGAAATCATCAGTCCCTGATTTCATTGCAGCTTTGCCATCCGGAGCCTGGACACTGGTTGGGGGCGGGCTTGGGCTGGCTGGGGGCTGACCACAGCCTGCATCCGCAGGAGGTAGAGGTGGCTGGTGAGGAACGCGGGCGCATCCTGCTGTCGCTGTGCTACAGCTCTCAGCGGGGTGGCCTGCTGGTGGGTGTACTACGCTGCGCCCACCTGGCCCCCATGGACACCAACGGCTACTCGGACCCCTTCGTCCGCCTGTGAGTGTGAGCAGGGGTGGACAGGCGGGCAGGAAGGCCAAGGTGGCAGTTCCTCACCTCTCCAGGGCCACACCTAATGCACCCATCCGTCCTAATCAGTTTCCTGCATCCAAACGTGGGGAAGAAATCCAAACATAAGACCAGCGTTCGGAAGAAGACCCTGAACCCTGAGTTCAACGAGGTGAGCCAGGGCCGGGCAGGTCCCAGCCAGCCCTGGCCTTGACTTGTTGAGCCTCCTGCCTGGGCCTGCTTCCTAAGCTGTGGGGGACCCTAAGCCTCCTCCTTCCTGCCCTTCTGCCTCTTTCCCTGCAGGAATTCTTCTACGCAGGCCCACGGGAGGAGCTGGCCCAGAAGACGCTGCTGGTGTCTGTGTGGGACTACGACCTGGGCACGGCCAACGACTTCATTGGTGAGTGGAACGCAGCGAGCTAGGGTGGGAGTCCAGTGGGCTCCTGGTAGCTCCTGACCTACCCCCCATGGCAGGCGGGGTGCAGCTGGGCAGCCGCGCCAGTGGGGAGCGCCTACGGCACTGGCGGGAGTGCCTGGGCCACAGCGACTGCCGGCTGGAGCTGTGGCACCCGCTGGACGGTGAGCCCCTCCAGCTCAGCAACTAGCCCGGCCGGGCCCTGCTTGCTGCCCCTCCCCCACAGCTGCCCACACTGTCCCCATGGAGCTGGTAGAGCTCGGGAGCTGCTTCACCCACTGTGCCCAGCCCTCAGCCCAATGGGTATTTCCTGTCTCCCCTCTGACATTCACCCCACCCCAAATCATGAAGCTTAAATAAACATGTCCTTCAAGCCAGACGAGAGAGCCTGTCTCTTCTCTGGCCACGGCCAGACTGGGCCCCAGTCTCCACCTCCCACCCTCCAGGGGCCTGTGCTGCACTGGGCCCAGATGTGACTTCAAGCCACAGTGACCAGGCCCAGCCCTCCCAGTCCCCTACCCCACCCCGACTCCTCCACTCAGGGACCGCTGCTCAGGATGGTCTGGGACTGACTCACTGACCTCCAAAAGGCACGGCCACATCTTGGAACAGGCTTCCATGAGTAGGGCCAGAGCTGGCAGGGTACAAAACAAAGTCACAGAGGAGCTGCAACAGGCGTGTGGGCAGCACTTGCTTTATTGTTCGGCATTCCAGGCAGACGGCCCAACACACCGGGCCAGGGTGGTTGGCTCACAAGGCAGCCTGCCGGGCCTGGTGCTGCTGGGCAAACTGCTGCATCCGCTCCTCAAGCTCTGGCCGGAAGTGGCGGATCAGACCCTGTGTGGGGGAAGCAAGAGACTGCGTGAAGCAGAGTCCAAAATTCCCAACACCCTGGGCTCTCAGCACCCCCACCCTAGTGCCACAGAGCTGGGCAGTGAGTACCTGCACAGGCCACGCAGCCCCGTCGCCCAGGGCACAAATGGTGTGGCCCTCTATCTGCTTGCTGATCTCCCACAGGGAGTCAATCTCAGCGGGCCGGGCGTCCCCCTTCACGAAGCGGGCCATCACCTTGTTCATCCAGTCCACACCTGCGGCCACAGCCACAAGAGAGGGGCCGGATCGTCTCCCCAGCCAGGCTGTGGGACAGCACTCGAGGGGTGCAGGCCACACAGGAGGGTGGGGGTTGAGTGAAGCCACAGCAAGCAAACCCCTAACCTGCCCGGATGCTCACCCTCACGGCACGGGGTGCACTGGCCGCAGCTCTCGTGCTTGTAGAACTCAATAAGGCGGGCGATGGCTTTCACAATGTCCGTCTGGGTGACAAGGGGCAGTGAGCAGGCATCCAAGGCCAGACAGAAACCGGGGGGCCTCAGCCCCCCAGAAGTACCCCCCCCTCGCAGTCCCAGCAGATCCTCCCAGGCCGTCCAGCACTCTGGCTCCTTTGGCCCGCCCCGAGCACCCTGTGCTGCCCAGGCTCCAGGCCCGTTCTCCCCTAGAGCAGCCTCGCTCCCTCCTCTCCCATGTCACTTGGATCTCAGGCTGCAGGACTGGGACCCGAGAGCTGGCAAGAGGGTTTTCCCCCTTGAGAGGCCCAAGGGAGTCGGCACCCAGGCTGGCAGGAGGCAGGAACTGGGGGGGTGGAGGGGGGTGGGCGAGCCCCTACCGAGCGGTCCATGACGATGACTGCGGCCGTGCCCAGGCCCGTCTGTGCCTGCACCAGCGCGTCGAAGTCCATCAGTACCGTCTCACACACGGACTTAGGGATCAGTGGGGTGGACGAGCCGCCAGGGATCACAGCAAGGAGGTTGTCCCAGCCACCTGTGACACCCCCTGGGGTCCCCAAGTTGGTTCCCAAAGGGATGGATGGTCAGGGCGGGAGCGAGCACACCTGCCTAGTCCTGAGCCCAGGATCTGTGTCAGCCCCGGAGCCCAGCCCCGGCTCCTGACCTCCCACCTCGTCCTTCTACTGGACACCCTCCCTGCCCCCACCCGCTGGCCCCAGGCCTCACCAGCGTGCTTCTCAATCAGTTCCTTCAGTGGCACAGACATCTCCTCCTCCACAGTGCAAGGGTGGTTGACGTGGCCAGAGATATTGAATAGTTTGGTGCCTGAGTTGCGCTCTCGGCCGAAGCCAGCAAACCAGGTACCCCCACGGCGGCAAATAGTGGGGGAAACGGCTACCGTCTCTACGTTGGCCACAGTTGTGGGGCAGCCAAACACTCCTTCAGGAAAATGGGAAGAAAAACCGGTGGCTGTCGGGTTGGGGGCAGGTTTCCTGGCAGTAGGGTCTGTCCCAGGGTCCTGCTCCCATGGCAGAGAGCCCCTGCTCTTCCAGCCCTTTGTCATCCCTGTACCCTGCTGGACCCCACACTCAAGAGGAGCTGCATCACCTTGTTCACCACCAAGCCCCTACCTCGCAGGACAGGTGCTGGGTAGGCAGAGCCATAGACTAGCTTGGAGGGGGCTTGGGTGTCTGACATGGGCTGAGGCGGGATGAGGGACTGCAGGAGGCACTGCTGCAGCCTGTCTGCTGTCACCACCCTACTCTCTGTTTCTGGCCCCAGCCCAGAAGGCACTCAGAAATGTCTTAAGAACAATCCGGGGAGGATTCAGCTAGATCCCAGATTACACAGGACACAGCCAAGACACGGCCCAGGGTCAGGCCAGGGCATACCCACGTCCGCAGGGAAGGGCGGCTTCAGGCGGGGCTTGCCCTGCTTGCCCTCAATGGACTCGATGAGCGCTGTCTCCTCTCCACAGATGTAGGCCCCAGCCCCGCGCACCACAAACACATCAAAATCGTAGCCAGAGCCACAGGCGTTCCTGCCAATCAGGCCTGCCTCGTAGGCCTCTCGGATGGCCACCTGCGGGTCAAGGGTGTGAGTTCCCAGGCTATGATTTCAGGAGTCATGAAGCCCTTGAAGGCCTCCCAAGTTAAGGCTCTGGAGCTTTGGGTGCCAAGACCTGTCCAGGACACATGCAGGAGTGGTCACCACCCTCCTAGTTCAACCCGACAGAGCAGGTGCCAACACCTGAACACTGTGCTGGGCACGGGGGCTGTGTGAGCACACGCCAAGTACCTTCTCATCTGTCGATGCCCCTCCCTGCCCACCTGCAGATTGGAGGCCTCATTGTAGAATTCCCCTCGGATGTAAATGTAGGCGGCACGGGCGCCCATGGCCCGGCCCCCCACCAGGCAGCCTTCCACCAGCTTGTGAGGATCGTGGCGCATGATCTCCCGGTCCTTGCAGGTGCCAGGCTCCCCCTCGTCCGCATTCACCACCAGGTACTTAGGCCTGTGGGGGCCCGCAGTTCAGACAGGCTACTGGGCCATCAGGCCTGGGTCCTCAACTACATGCCACCTCCACTCCACCCAGGGAGGCCTCAAAGATGTCTCCTTCAACAGCCAATATCTGTTTGCCCTCCCAACATGTCCCCCAGGGGCTCTGCTTGCTCACCACCCATGACAGGGCGCTCATTGCCCATTCTATCTTTAGGTGGCTATGACCACAAGAAAGGTCTTTATTCTGCTCAGTCCAAACATCTTTCTGTGTGCTTTCCCCTGAGAGCCAGATCCTGCTCTTGGCCACAAAGAACCTTCCTCAACCTCCACCACACCTCTGGGGCCAAAACGAGGCAAAGTAGCTGAGGTTTATTATTTGCTTTCTGTGTGCCAACCAATGTACCAGCCAAACATTGTACAAACATCTCTTTAATCCCTGCATATCACTATATCCATTTACAAAAAAGAAACCTAAGGTTTGAACCTTAGGCCAGGAGATTACCCAAAGCTCTATGATTAGAAAAGCTCTAGTTTTTAAACTAAGTCTGCCTGACTCAAAGTCTTGTGTTGATTCTGCTATGCAGTCTCCTCTGAGGAATTCCAGAGAAAAATACAAGTCCCATCCACGTAAGGCCTGGAAACATTCTGCTACCTCAGTCATGCTCAGTTTCTAAGGAAACAGCCCAAAAGTCCAGGCACGTCCCAGCCACCCCCAAGGTGTCTCCTGCGACCACATCCCTGTCTCCCTATACATACCTTCCATCTGAGGGCTTATTCATGAAGCTCCATTTGAGGCCAGTGGGGAAGCCAGCGCCTCCACGGCCCCGCAAGCCTGACGTCTTGACCTCACCCAGGATCCAGTCGGGACCCTTCAGCAGGATCTCCTTTGTCTTGTACCAGTCACCTCGGCTCAGGGCACCTTTCAGCCTGGACAGAGTGGGGAAGGCAGTGAAGGGAGGGCCTTACTCCAGAACCCACCAGACTAAGAACACTGTCTCACCTCCAATCATGGCGGCCATACAGGTTGGTGAAGATCCGGTCTTCATCCTTCAGTGAGCCAAATGAGGTTTTCTTGGGTGCTGTCTGGGGAGACAGAGAGTCAGGAGGCCCAGCTGAGGCCATGAGGGATTGGGTCAGATGCTATAGACTCTTGGGTCCGCCTTTCAGGAAAGGCTGGGCTGACAGGGGAGAAGCCTAAGCTTCAAACTCTATAGCATCATAGATACCACCACCACTTAGCAAGCATTTTTTGGTTAGCAGGTACTGAACTAAGCATTTTATATCTAAAATTCTATTTCATCCTCCTAACAACCCTGAGATAGGAATGATTTCCTCCATTTTACAGAGGAGGACACTGAAGCTCAGAGCCAAAGGAACTCATGGAAAGCCGCACAGACAAAAGCAGCAAACAGAATTTGAGCCTAGGTCTGTCCATAGCCAAAGCCCACACCTGAATCATGGCACCATACTGCATCCCCAAGCCCAGTATGATGGCATGTCCCTTTACTTGTGTGGCCCTCCCGCTGGACCAAAACTTGGTTAGGCCAGGGGCCTTATCTTACTAACTGCTGAGGAGGCAAAATGTGTTTACTGAAGGGAAAGAAATGCCTCCCTGGGGCTGGGACACAAAGGTGATGGAGGGGGCCCACTTGGGAGAAAACTAAGCAGAGGTGGGCGCTGGAATTCCACACTATCCAGTGGAGAGCAACCCACATGAGGGCTAAAGAGGTCTTGACTTCCAGACTTCTACTTTAAAAGCACTTTTCAACCCCTACAGGAAGCAGAGCACTGGATGGGGAATCAAGAAGTGCGCATCCCTCTCCAAAGCTATTTTCTGCACGTGCAAAATGGGGCTATGAACACTTCACGCCCTACAAGGCTGTGGCAAGGAAGGAATACAAGACTAG